AAATCCCTATATAAACACTGTGTTTCATCCAATTCCCTGTTGCTGTCTGCTCTGGGAAGGATAGGAAGCCATTCCTGGGTTTGTCCCTCCACACCCTGGACTCTCCAATAAACCTCTTTTATGAGACTTGCTTCCTGATGTGATTATCATCAGAAGAAGACAAAAAGCAAAGAAGGGAGAAAGGAAAGAGAAGGAAGGCTGGCAGAGGTTCCTGAGCGCCTCAGCTCAGCAGGGGATACCCTCCCCTGCAGAGTTGCACTGCCTCTGCTAAAGAGGCTTCTTCCTCTCAGAGCTGTGAGGGTCTTGAGTTCCCTATCTCAGGATGCCGGTCCATTTGGACATTGTCCCTCCTCAGAGCTGTATGGTTCTTGGGCTTCCGAGTCCTAGGACACATTCCTGTCTAAGCAGAGAGGTCAACAATCTCTTTCCTTCTTTTGCTGATTAATAAGAAGAGACAATCGCCAGCCCTTGTTAATCTATGAATGGAATCCCCAGTTTTATCTGTTGTTAACAACAGCCATCACCTCAGTGGGGGATAAAAAAATGTTATTTCTGGAGCCAGATAGGAAATGATCACGGACTGGGAACAAATGTAGTTCACCCCAAATTCCATGTCTCAGTGTGGCAGCAGTTTCGTGGAGTTTTTGCAGTAACAGAACAAAGGCAGGCATAGATCAAGACGTCTTCCAAATACACGGTTGAAAACATCAGGCAGGTGCGCACAGCACAATAGGAACACCTGTGCTACGGGTCTCCCATGCTATATGGTGACATTCTTAGCTCTGGGGTTGGTGGAACCTAGGGGGTCTGTTTGTACATTCCAAAAGATTTATCTATTAGGTCACAGGACATTAAGTTGCAGAGAGGACAAGTGGCTGTTCTGGGGCCAAGATAGCTCAGATAATCTGTGATTAGACCCTAGATCTGCCACATTCGAAACTCAATAATCAAAGAAGTTCTAACCAGTTAATCGGCTTATGAAATGCAGCATCTTTGCAGGAACTGTTGTCCACACATCATCTTAAGATTCAGCTACTATCACAGACACAGGATGTGCTGGGTTCAGTCAAGCACCTTTGCTCCTGGGAGAGCCTGTGTGACGTGGGCCAGGTGGAAAGCTATGTCTACTCCATGGAAGATTCAGGAGGCTGCTTCTGTCCTACCATCCTGTACCATCTCACAGACTCAGGTGGCTGCCACAGTTCCAACCATCAGATCCTCACACACGCCTGGCAGCCAGCATGAAGCAAGGCAAGAGACGTGCGGTGTTTGCCCAGAGCAGCAGACCCCCCCTGGCCTCTCACACCGGCCCTCAATTTTGCTGCTTCTACTTCTTCTGGTCTTTGGAGCATTGTGGGGGCCTGAGAAGGAAGGAGCAAGACAGAGTTAGACCGTGTTATAGGATGCTGTCCTCTGGGCATGACACAACCATTGTCATCTAAATTGATTTCTCACTCACAAAACCTTTACAAGACGGGCCTAGCACCATGACCTTGTAGAAGGAGTGGGGAGCGTGTGTGTGTCCAATCATCAGATCCTAAACTGAGAATTCAACCAGTTCTTCTTTCCTGCCCATGACTCTGTCCTAGACACACAGGTCTCAGGGGGGAGTGTCTAGAGTACAGAGTGGGGAGTTAGGAGGTGGAGGGACAAGGCCCATCTACACAGCTTTCAAGATAACTGTGTTTGCACCACAAGGCTTCACAGTAGATGACCGTGTTTGGGCTTGTGGACAGTAGCCCAAGTGACCTGCTACCTTCTCTGTCCCAGCTCCACACAGAGCTCCCCTCCCCACCCAGGGTCAGTGAAAAGAGGTGTCCTGCCAACTGTGTCCCATAGATCAGTGTATCCTGCTCCCCAGTGCCTCTTCCCTGGCAGACTGGATAGCAGGCAATGTAACCAGGGCCTATATTCAACCACCTTAGTCACCATCCCCACCCTTGGCGTTTATGGATGCTTGGGGCCTCATAAAGCTCAAAGCCTGTAAACAGTAATAAAGAAGCCCAGAGAACTTGGCTTGGGCAAGCTGCTGTGGGGCCAGAAAGCTGCAAGCTGCAGAGGGGCACTGGGCTCAGGGAGGAGAAGCCATTTCCTCATCATGTGGCATTTCTTCTCACCACTCTGAACATAGACCGTCAAGGTTACTGTGACTAGGTGCTGCGGAAGTGCCCTCTGGAAGATGCAGCTTCCTGGGCCCCGCATACCCGAGGAGATGAATTTCCTGCAGAACACAGGTTTGGGAGTGAGAAGAACGAGCTCAGGAGAAAACTATCCGTGCTCACTGTGCTGACCATCCTACAGGGTCTCAGTTGTATAGGACAGATGGAAACAGTCCCTCCAGGACAATGGCACTGTCCCCCATGCCCCCACCTGCCTTTACTCCTGGATTTTCCGTTGTAGCTGGTTATAGTACCCCATCAAGCCCCATCTTAAGCTGGTTATAACACTCTTTTCTTTTGTTGAGTAATGAGAAAAGACAATCGTCAGCCTTTGCTGATGTATGAATGGGAGCCAGGAGACTCAGTATGGACTACGGGCAGCTGCAGAATGCCGAGACCAGGAGAAACAGTCCCGGGAAGAGCCCCTCCCCAGTTGGTTTTCCAATTCCAAATGACATGCCCGGAAAATATATACATACAAGTAATATTATAGGGACTGAACAGGTTATGTTTTTCTATATATACATATATAAGAAATAAAAATCATGAATTTGAGAGAGATCGGATGAGGTACACAGGAATGATTGGAAGGAAGAAAGGGAAACTGTTGTAATTATATTTTAATTAAAAAAAAAAAAGAGCAGAATATGGAGGCATGTGCCTGTAATCCCAGCAATTGGAGATGGGAAGTAGATCCCATGCAGGTATCCAGGGAAGCTAGGCCTCCAGTCTCTAGTTCAGTTCCAGGGCTCATTGCTAGCGTGTACCGATCTGGTGGTCGCTGGCAGATTACTTCATCTGTCTGAGCTGAATCTCGATTTCTTGGAAAGAGATCTTCGTGACTAACTCTAAATGACATTTTTTGGGGGGTCTCTTAGAACCTTGGGCTCAGGATCCACGCAGCCCCGCCTTTCTTTCAGACCCCGCCTATCAGGTCCCGCCCCGTCTCTCCGGTTATTTAACTCCTGCTCTACACTCACAACCTGCAGAACGCGGTCAGATCCCAGCCGGAACTCGGTGTGAGCCAACCGCGGCATTGCACACTCTCCATTGGCTGAGAGCTACGGCAGGGGCAGGCCCAGGCTTGCGATTGGCTATCGGAGCAGGGCGTCTGGAGGGCTGAGCGATCTCGGCGGGCGCTGACGGTCATGGAAACCTCGTCGGTGCTGACCCGGGGGTCTGCAAGGCAGCGGAGCCCCGCGGCTCCGGAGAACCAGGCGCAGGACCAGCCGGAGAGGAGGCCGGGGCGGCGGAGGCAGGGACGGAGGTGCGCGTGGCTGGGCTGAGCTCCGGGTCTGGGCTGGGGTGGCCATGCTGCCGGTCCCTGCATGATGCGACACTCACTGTTCATTGCTCGCGGACAAACCTGCGTCCCTTCATCCTTTCGTCCCCGGCCGCAGACAGGCCACCCGATCAAGCTAGCAGCTCCCTTGTTCCTAACCTATGACAGACCCTGTCCCAGCCCATCGGGGTCCCGTTCTGGAAGGCTGGCGCCACGGCACCTTTCTTTGGTCCTATCAATTGGACTGTCCCAAACATAGATGGCTTTCTCTTCGGGTGATATTTGAACTGAATCTTTAGGGACGAGAAGGAATGTGCTGGATGGATCAGAATGGGCAAAGGCACAAAGGCAGGAGTGGACAGACATACCCCTCTGGTCCAGGGATTCTAGTCCAGAGTTGTAACCCCGTGGTCGGTAGGACGCTGGGAAAGGTATCAGCGCAGACTTGATGTGTCCTGCTCTGTTTTTAAACCCACAGCAATGAGACAGATGGGCCATTTAGACTTTAGGGTGGTTGCTGGCTGATGGGAAAGGTATTCCTGGGTAGAAGCAATCCTAAAAAGGTCCTTTCCTTCTTACTGTAGTGATATTCAGGTGACAAAGGTGAGCAGGGGCAGACAGGATCGGTCTAAGTTCCTTTGGATGGAGCTGAAGGATAAAGAAATCAGCCAGAGAGGGCCATCTGGAAGAGGAGTATCTGGGAGTGAAATTTGAAAGAGGAGAGTTTTGCATGGCCTGATGACACAGGCCTTTAAGTGCAACTCCTTGAGGGAGTGAGGCAAGAGGATCACAAGTTTGAGGCCAACCTGGTGTAGTGAGGCCACATCTCAGAATAAAAATGGAAGGTCTTGGGATAGATTCATGGCAGAGGACTTGCCTAGGATGTAGCAAGTCCTGGATTTGAGCCCCTAGCACCATAAATAAAAGATGACATCTCCATTTTAGCCTGCTACTGTCTGGTCATCCCTGCAGTTCCAAAAGGCTCCTCAGTCTAATCGCAGAGGGACAGTGTGATTGATGACAGAACCTATGGAGGGAGCTCAGATCACTCTTGGTGGCCTCAGGCCGTGGGGGGCTTTAGAGAATGCCAGCTTGGATATCAGTGACATAAATGGCTACTATAGTGTCTTCTCACTACTCTTAGAATGGTACTTTGAAACATATTAACAAGTGAACACTTCCTGATTTTGCTATACTCAGACCCGGCAACTTCATGAAGCCAAAGTAGTTATTCCTTGTATTATTCAGTTGCTGAAGGGGAGGCTGGGTGGGGTGGGGTGGGGCAATGAGTGAGAGTCCCTGCTCGTGTGTGGGCAGAAGACAAAGCCTGGTCCTGCCCTCTCCTGGTCTTCAATTTTGCTAGTACTTGAAGACCATATCCCTTGGCCAGAGAAGGCCTGTGGCTCTAGGAAGTGTTTTAACGTGGGGTTTTCACCTGTTGGGTGGGGCTGTCATTGGCTTCTGTCCAAGCAGGAGCGGGCTCTAGTTGCTAATAAACAAGACGAACCCCAGATCCCCTTTTTCTGGTGCCATGCATGCCTTTGGTGTATATTTTATAAACCATGTCTAGTGATATCTAGCTAGCCATTTGCTTCCAGCTGTTATTTACCTTTTGGGGAGGAGGGGCTGAGACTGTAGCTCAGTTGGTAGCGTGTTCACCCTACCGTGTGCAGATCCCTAGTTGAATCACCAGTATAAATGGGGTATAGCAGAGCACCCCTCTAATCCCAGCTCTTAGAAGGTGGAAAGACGAAGATCAGAAGTTCAGTGTCACCCTTGACTACACACTTCCAGGGTAGCCTGGGCTACATAAGATCCTGCATCAAAAAACAAAAGCAAATCAATCTTTTAAAACCCACCCTTTGCCCAGGATCAATGAGGATCAGGAGGAAGAAGAAGCAGTCTTTAGAAATGTGGTCAGTTTCACTCCGGATCCTTTACCAGGTGAGGTGACCAAAGTTCCCCCTAACGTCTCTCTTCCTGGCCATTGCAGTCCCCACTCCCATCCCTGTCAGTCGAAGGGTGTGCACGAGTCCCCTGATTTCCTTTATTCCTTACGGTTCCCTCCGTGGACCAGCTAGATATTATGACAAGGATACTACCAGACCTATCAGCTTTTACCTGTCAACGCTGGAGGAACTCCTGGCCTGGACCCCCCTCATGGAAGATGGCTTCAATGTGGCCCTGGAACCTCTAGAGTGTCGCCAGCCTCCACTTAGCAGCCCCAGGCCCCGGACTCTGCTTTGCCATGACATGATGGGCGGTTACCTGGAGGACAGGTGAGGCTCTGGCGCGGCACTGATCTTATTACTGGCCATCCCGGGATGGGAGAGGGTGGAGAGGAGTCCTAGAGCCCTGGATGGAGTTATGGAAGCAGGTTCTAGATGGACCTCTGACACCTCAGGGAGAGAAACTCAGTCCTAGGTTAAGCTTCCCGTGGCAGAAGGAACATGAAATTGGGTGCACTCTCATCGGTTTGAGCTGCACAGACAGTTAGTTCCTCAGGCTGCCCCTGAAGAGAATCATCCCCTGGCCTAGCAGCCTCATCCTCATCTGATTTGTCTGTTGTGCTTCCCCTCAGCTCTGTCCAGGTTCAGGCCTCTTGCCTTGGCTTCCTGTGCTCTCTCCCCCCTCACTCTCTCAGCTATGCACGGGCTAGCTAGAGTGACATTTTAAAACATCTATTGAACAGTCTTGGACAGGATGATTGATGGGAAGTTGCATCAGAGCCAGCTGCCCAGCCTGGGATGTGGTCAACCTGTAGACCCAGGGACACGGCCCCGAGGGCAGCGCTGACCCCGTGCAGAGAGCAGAAGCCAGAGACAGGGCCCGTACTTGGCCTTCCTGCTTCCTGCTCCTTCATCTGCTCACAGAGGCCAAATGCTGTCTGTGCAGTTCCTGTGCTAACTCCCTGGTCAGTGAATGAACTTCCCTCCCCAAACCACCGTGATTTATTTTTGAGATTGGGTTTTGCTATGTAGTTTAGTCTGGTATAGAACTTATTGTATAGCCCAGCTGGCTTCCAACTCCAATCACCCTGCTTCAGGTGCCACCATGCCCTGCAGGCTCCTGACTGGCTCTTTGTGTGTCTGTGAGTGCATGTGCATTTGTGTGTGTGTGTGTGAAGAATATGGGCCAGAGGTCAGCCTTAGCTATTGTTCCTCAGATGCTGTTTACCCTATCTTAAAGACACACTTCCTCACAGGCCTAGAACTTACCAAGTATGCAAGGCTAGCCTGTCCGTGATTCTCCACTTTCCTATCCCTGAGATTACAAACACGCTCCACCATACCTGGACTTCTAATATTTTTTAAATTTTTATTTGTTTTTTTTTTTTTTACAATTTTAAAAAAGATTTATTTATTTTATGTATATGAGTACACTGTAACTGTCTTCAGACACACCAGAAGAGGGCATCGGATTCCATCACAGATGGTTGTGAGCCACCATGTGGTTGCTGGGAATTGAACTCAGGACCTCTGGAAAAGCAGTCAGTGGCTCTTAACTGCTGAGCCATCTCTCCAGCCCTAATTTTTCTTTTTCTTTTTTCTTTTTTTTTTTTGGCTTTTTCGAGACAGGGTTTCTCTGTGTAGCCTTGGCTGTCCTGGAACTCACTCTGTAGACCAGGCTGGCCTCGAACTCTTGAAATCAGAAATCCGCCTGCCCCTGCCTCCCAAGTGCTGGGATTAAAGGCGTGCGCCACCACCGCCCGGCTTCTTTTTTCTTTTTAAATCCATTCTGGGGATAGAAGTCACTCAAGGCAAGGATTTTATTGTCTGACTCTCATCCCAGCTCCCGCTCCTGACCACTCTTGACAGAAGAGCCTCAGGTTGTTCCTTCCCTCACTCCTCCCCACAAGGTCTCACACAGCAGGCTTCAGTTAGAGCCAGCGACCAGAACTGAAGAACAACACTTGAGTCAAGTCTAAAACACAAAGCGATCACTGCATCCTGATTGATTCTGTGTCCTGGGGCTTGATCGCTGCATCCTGATTGATTCTGTGTCCTGGGCCTGACCGTTCTGTGTCTCTACCAGGTTCATTCAGGGCTCAGGGGTGCAGAACCCCTACTCCTTCTACCACTGGCAGTACATCGACATCTTCGTGTACTTCAGCCATCACACCGTCACCATCCCCCCAGTGTGCTGGACCAATGCCGCACACAGGCACGGGGTCTGCGTGCTGGGTAAGAGACAGGTGGTTAGTGTACCTATTGGGTGGTCCTGTAATTGAGCAGTAGCAGTCTTCATGGGTTCTGATAGGTGTCTGCATACTTTCCCAGAGTGGATCAGATGGTACCTGTGTTTTTAGCGTGCGGCTGTTGGTCAGGGTGGTGGTGATCAGCATAAGAGCAGCTGTGGATGATGGGTAGGCAGAGGGGCCTGCTACATCCCGGGAGAGCAGTACTCACCTGAGCCGGGGCTGGGTCTGGCCCCAGGCTGTAGTCTGCCAACTACTGCATCAGCTTAGGGCCTCTCCAGCCTTGTTCTGAATCCTCTGTGACCATATTCCAAAGGACCACTGACCGAACGTCTACATTTTCCTATAGTCCTGATGTCCAGGAAGCACACTCATCCAAGCCCTGGGTCAGAGGAGAGCCATCTGTGCAGCCGTTTCTACCTCTTGTCTCACAGGGACCTTTATCACAGAGTGGCAAGAGGGAGGCAGGCTCTGCGAATCCTTCCTGGCCGGGGATGAGCGCTCCTTCCAGGCAGTGGCTGATCGGCTGGTCCAGATTGCTCAGTTCTTTCGTTTTGATGGCTGGCTCATCAACATCGAGAACTCTCTGAGTGTGAGCGTTTCAGTGGGGTCCTGGTGCTAGCCCCCCTCACCCCTTGCTTTGCAAATTCCCCTTTGCTTGTTTCTCCTGACCCTACTCCTTGTTTTACTCTTGCCCTTTTGCTTGGCCCCTCTTGCCCTGGACCCAGGCCCTAGCCTATAGCAGCAAGATCCACTTCTCACACCCCAGTGAGGACCAGCTGTGCTGTCTCTGACTGCAGGGAAAGGAGAGCCCAGCTTCATCATGAGCTCCTCTGGTGTGTCCTCTTCAGCTTCTTCCTCAGTGTGCCCACACCCTTTTCCCCTATCCCTGCTTCAGGCCTGTGTGGCTTTTCTGTGGCCACTGCCCCCTCCCCGGCCCCTTTTCTTTATCTTTTCCTGAGTTCTGGGCTATGGTCTTTCCTGTCCAGCAAGGATGGCTAGGTCCTCTCTGATAGCCGTGAGACACGGGGCATTTTTGTCGTGGTTGGCTCTTGTGGCCTCTCCTGTCTTCTATATTGGGTCATTCCTCATGACAACTGTGCCCAGCCTCACACAGGTCTGATCTTCCTTCCTCTCTCACAGCCAGCTGCCGTGAAGAACACACCTTTATTTCTCCAGTACCTGACGGCACAGCTCCATCAGGAGGTCCCTGGAGGTCTGGTGCTGTGGTACGACAGTGTGGTACAGAGTGGGCAGCTCAAGTGGCAGGACGAACTGAATGAACAGAACAGGTGAGCATAGGGTGGCCGTGAAGGAGGATGAGCTGGCCAGGCCACAGGGCATCCCTTGTGGGACTATTCCACACAGGGCGGAATGAGGCAGGCATGGGCAGCCCCAGTCTCTGGGTGATGTGTGTCCATGAGAATCAGAGGTGCTAACAGCAGCTGGGTGCCCCATCCGGCTGGGCCTGGCCTCAGCCGGTCCTTGCCATCTCTCAGGGTCTTCTTCGACTCCTGTGATGGCTTCTTTACCAACTATAACTGGCGGGAGGACCACCTGCAGCGGATGGTGGCACAGGCCGGGGAGCGCCTGGCCGACGTGTACGTGGGCGTGGATGTGTTTGCTCGGAGCAATGTGGTCGGTGGCCGTTTTGATACTGACAAGGTAGGCGGTGGCCTTCACATCAGGGCTGCTGGTCTGCATGCCCTCTGTGGCCTCTGCCTTGGGGAATCTTCCATTCTCAAAGTACCTCAAAGGAAACCAGGGCACCCTGGACCCATCCTGTGTCTCTCCCAGCCACTCCTCCAGTCACACGAAAGGATTCTGTCCCCACTCCTGCATCATTTCCCATAGGCACCGACTCCCTCCTGGGCCAGGTGCACATGCTTTGGAGCATACTGAGTGATGTTTCATGCCACTCAGCAGACATGGGGGGCTTTCGGGGGGGGCTACAGTGGGCAGAGGTGAAGCAAGTGGTCTCAGGGAGAGGAGGAGTGGGAGAGGGGAGAGCAGGCTCTGCTCCTGTCTGTCAGTCCTCCTTCTCCCCTGGGTGCAGGGCTCTCAGTCGTGAGGAAGCTGTAGACAAATCACTTATCCAGTGCCAAGGTTTCACTTCTATTGTGATAAAATACCCTGACAAAATGCAGCAGGAGGCACAGGGTCTAATCTCAGGTTACAGTGTGGGTGTGTGCGGAGTGAAGGCAGCTAGTGTAGCAATCAGGACCCGTGCAGAATGACTCAGATGCTTGCTTGTTCCCAGCTTTCTTTGCCTTCCCCATCTCTCTTTAATTTTGAGACAAGGTCTCTCTTTGTAGCCATGGCTGTCCTGGAACTTACAGTGTAGACCAGGCTGGCCTTGATCTCTCTGTCTCTGCCTCCTGGGATTAAAGGTCACCACGCCCAGTTTTTCCTCTTTTATACTGTTCAGGACCTCCTAGCCTAGGGAATGGTACTGCCTACGAGGGGCTAGGTTTTCCCTATATCAAACAAGACTAATATCACACGCAGGCGTGCCCACAGGCGGACCCAGTGCAGACCGTCTCTCACTGAGACTCCCTTCCTAGGTGATTCCATGTGTGTCAAGTTGACAGTTCAAACTAAGTAGCACACAGTGACACGACCCAGGGACTGCAGATCCTCTACCCTCTGTGATTCTAGTAAGGTGACGAGAGGTGTCTGTGAAGAGGAGACAGGGCTTAGAGATCCACAATGATGAACTCATACCTCCCTGCTCATGGCTGAGCCCGCTCTGCTTTCCTTCACCTGCCTCTCTAACCATCCTCTAGGTGGCTTGTGAGACACCAGGGATGAAGCCCCAAGACCCTCTGTCTAGAGCTATGAGGGAGAACTTTTCCTCGCTGGCCCTACCTGAGAGAGCCTTGCCTGTGGGCTGGCATCCAGGAAGCCCGTCTGGACTCTGCTCCCAGTGTTCAGCATCTCCCTGGTTTCTGTCTCCCCAGTCCCTGGAGTTGATCCGCAAGCATGGCTTCTCGGCAGCGCTGTTTGCTCCTGGGTGGGTGTATGAGTGTCTGGAGAAGAGCGACTTCTTTCAGAACCAGGACAAGTGAGTCCCCAAGGGCTTTGCATGGGCTGGCAGGAGAGAGTGTGTCTTTGCTCTCCAGTGGGGTGGTGACTGGGGGGACAAGGAGGGGGGTCAAATGAGAACAGAGTGGCCACCCTGGCAACTCCCAGGGAAGATTCTGGAGACCAGTCAGGCAGGAGGGAACAGAAGGCAAGAACTGCTTCCTCCAGATGGCCTCTGGCCTGGCCCTAGCTGCAGACTCCCTGGATGGCCCCTCTTAGAGATTCTCCAGCTCCACACAGGGCTGCAGGGATGTGGGCTGGCCCCCTTACCCTGACTCCTTGCCCTGTCAGGTTCTGGAGACTGCTGGAGCGCTTCCTGCCCACACACAGTATCTGCTCCCTGCCCTTTGTCACCTCTTTCTGCCTGGGCCTGGGTACTCGAAGAATCTGCTATGGCAAGGTAGGCGGGTCAGGGGCTCTGTGTCTGGTCTCTACCTAGGATGGGCGGGAGGGGGCCAAAGGGCATGTGTGGGAGGGCTGTGTATGGCTGTCTCTACCTCCTCCGTGCTCTCTTGCTGTCTGCCTCTGCAGAGGAGGCCACCACCCCTGTCCCATTTGCTACATTTCCTCTCTCTTCAGGAGCAGGCAGTGGGGCCCTGGTACCACCCTAGCGCCCAGGAGACACAACCCCTCTTTGGTGAACATAAGCTGGCTGGCGACAGCCAGGGCTGGGTGAAGACACACTGCTGCCTGGCCGATGCCTGGAACGGGGGCAGCTCTCTGCTGCTCCGGGGCCTGATCCCGCCCGAGGTTGACAGTGTGACTGTGAGGTGGGTGAGTGACGGGTGAGGTGTGTGGGTCTCTATCTTCTGCCCTCCGTGTCTGCAGCTAATTAGGCAGAGAGTCTCCAGGAGCCGAGAGAGGATAGGCGTTAGATCTCAGACGGCTTCTTTTACATTGTGTCGAAAACACTCTGCACAGCGCGCCTGTAGCTTTCTGAAGTGTTACCCAGCTGTGACAGCTGAGGGCAGTGCCAGGCAGGAGTCTGAGACCACCCACTGAGTAGTACCTCCTGGCATACAGCTGCCTTAGATGGTGCCTGGGAAGAAATTAGAACCAGGACCTTCCAGTCTAGAGCAGTCTGGCCATAGAAATGGCCAAGCCCCAGCAGGGCCAGGTATGGGGCTTTCACCTCCTCACTCCTAGCCAGGCAGGGAGGGGCTCCGCGAGGACCACTTCCACCTCTCATGGAGTTCCCCTCCCCCAGGCTGTTCTCTTTGCACGTCCCGGTGCCACCCAAGGTTTTCCTGTCCATGGTGTACAAGTTTGAAGGCTCAACGGATGTCCAGGTGGCTTTGGAGCTCACAACAGGGGATGCCAGCAGCTGCCATGTGGGTGGCATGTTGGTGTTAAATGGTGAGAGGCTGAGTAACTTCGTGGAAGAGAAGTGGAGAAGGCCCTGGCTCTGGGCTGGACTTCTGTGGGCGGAGCTGTTGTGGGCGGGGCTGTTGTGGGTAGGTTTCTGTGGGCGGGGCTGCTGTGGGTGGGTCTGGGCCGCTCCCACCTTGGGTGGAATCTGAGGCTGTGGATTACCTGCATATGGAGACTTGCTAAGCCCAAGCTGTCCTCTGTGACCCTGGTAAGCAGCAGTCTCCTGGGCAGGTTGGATACAGGTCTCCTCTCTGGGACACTGAGGTGTTCACATTAGTAGGTTGTGGAGATGGGAAGTTGGTAGAAGCCAGGATGAGGGAATCTGGCCAGTAACATACCTACATCCTACATGTCCTCCAAAGCTTTTCCTCTGTGCCCAAGCGTCTCTTCCACCAGGGGTCTTACCTAGACACCCGTTCCCAGCCACATCCTGCCCTTCTTGGGTTTTCCTGTGTGATTCTCCTTTCTGAAGCCCATGTCTTCCAGCAGAAACTGGCTCACGGCACAGCCCCAGACCCCTTCGGGTACCCCCGACCAGGCTGGCCAGATGGGCCAGCAGTTGTGGCCAGCAGCTCAGTGGGGGCTGGATTCAACGGTGAGTCCTCTCTTGGCAAGTCCCATAAGGCAATGAGCACACATGGGAGAACTTAGAGTCCCCCCTGAGAAATCTCAGAACAAGAGGGAAGGGGCAGCCTGGGTTCCAGGATTCTGCAGCAGTAAGACAGACAGGGACACTCCTTGGGGGGAACCTACTGTAGTCCTGGGCCCCATGACCTGGAGTACCCTTGGGATGCTTCTTCATGGCTCAGGCCCTCACCCAGCTGGCTTGTGAGCAGCCTGTGTGCTCTTTCAGCTGCTATGAGGTAAACCTTCGTGGGTGCCTGCTCCAGGACCTCTTGGTGAGCTTCTCACGGCCGCCAGGCAGCCGGGAAGAGGAGAGCTTCAGTTGTCGTCTTGGAGAGCTCCAGGTGTGTATGTGGGAGTTGGGCTTGCGGGGAGAAGGGATGGATGAGGGAGTGTCTGGGCCCCTTGGGAGTAGGACTGGGTGGAGGAGGGATGGATGGAGCACTGAGGGGTAGGTGTGAGGGGATGTCCTTTATGTCCTCCCTGGGCATCCAGCCAAGCGAACCTTCTCTCTCCTACCAGGTGGTTGATGCCAACAGCCTTCTGTCTCCTCTGCCCCGGGTACAGAGTGTCACTGTTTCACAGCTACGCTGGCTCCCTCTGATCACTGGGTCTGAGGGCCTCCCCACCCGGCTCCTCCTCAGCTGCACCCTGCACTGGTCCTACCTGCTGCTCCGAGCCCGCTGCTTCCAGATTCACTGCTTGAAACGGACAGGAAGCAGCTCTGTGACAGAGGAGTCCCCAGAGACAGGGAAGCCCGTGTTCCTGGGCCTGGCTTTTGCCAACCAGTACCGTGTGGTGGACTTGGCAGTGGAGGCTGCTAGACCTGGGCAGGATGGTCGTGTGGAGTTCCTGGTGGAGCCTGTCCCCAGGGAGGGTTTCCTGGTGCCTCAGGCCGAGTGGGGAAGGGCGGTCCTACTCTACTCTGCCCCTCAGTGAGCCCACTCCAGAGCACAGTACCTCCTCGCCTCAAGACTCAAAGTTTCTTCTTGGCCAGCCGCCCAAGGCTGCATGGACTGCTGAGGATAGCCAGGTCCCCAGGAGACAAGGTCTCCAGGTTCTGGCTGTGACCTCAGGAAGCTCTGCCCCCTGGGTGCTAGGTGAGTTGCTTAGCACCCACACCTTCTGTAATTCTCTCCATGGGATGTGGTTCTCAAGGAAGAAGGAAAAAGTTTGAAGTTTCCTCCAGAAAATTCCATAAAGGCTATTTTTCCTAGGCTGAAAAGATGCATCTGTTGAGCATGGCGGCCGCTTATCCCTGTAGCTTTGACAATCAGAGGCAAACTGCCCTGGTGGGAGGAAGGCTCCCTGAAGACTGAGGCAACAGTCGGGAGGAGTGGGAGTCAGGGAGGCTCACAGGGTAGCCGGACTGGTGTTCCCCAGGAGCACCATCAGTGGCAACTGGCAACCCATTCCCCACCTGTACAAGGTGGGCCAGTCACACTTCAGACTACCTGTGTGGATGATGGCTCTGGCAGCTGACTGTCCCAGGGAACCCCAAGTCCCTCGCCTGTGCAGTATCTCCCATGGGCCTCCAGCTATGTGAGGCACAGAGGCATGAGAGTGACAGCCACCCTCCTATGTCCCCCAAGAGGCAGGTGAGCCTCGCCTGCTTCCAGGTACAGTGACATCCTTGCTGTACCAAAGCTCTGTTGACACTAGGCTGCACAGGAACTTCCTGCTGTGTGTCTGGGTCTTGGTTGATGTCACCATCACTCTCCCCCCAACCCCCATTCCAGTGTTTGATGCTCAGGCCGCAGTAGAGCTCTCTCGCATCCTTTCTGTGTTCAGAACCTGACACAGCTCTGTGGTCTGACCTGTGGCCTTCATGCTGTGGTATGGGGAGCAGCCACAAGATGGCAGAGCAGCCTGTTGCCATCTTCTGAGGTATAAGGGTTGGACGGGTGGGGCTTCCTCAGATTCCTGAGCATGATGCAAGGAGGGAGTGCCACTCCTGCCTGTAGGGGCTGAGCGCTGCCCCCACCCCCATCCATCTTCCCTGATTTCCTGGGCACCCTGTTCCTCTTGAGGGAAGTATAAGGGTGAGGACCTAGAACCTGAGATCGGGAACATTCTGCCCTGTTTCTTGTGTGATTCTACCAGGGTCTCTGGTAAAGCCCAGGCTACTCCTATGCCCTTGGCATGGCTCTGCCAACCTTTTACGGGGTGGGGGTGGGAGATGGGGGTAGGGAGGGCACCTGGGGCTATGCTGGTCTTTCTCTGGTGTGTCATCCAGATTCTGCCTGGAAGCCTCGGCTCTCCCACTCCCAGCCAGGGTCCTGTGTGGCTGGAGTGGAGAGTCAGTGGGGAGCAGGGCAGGTGGCTGGCTCTGGGGCAGGGCAGCATTCCTGAATACCCTGCTTCCCTTGTGGTACCGAGTCTGCTTTTAAAAGTGCTGGTTCCTTCAAATATTTTATGCAGAGAAGGAGAGAAAATTTATAGTGGCAATTATTCCCTCACAGTCTGGTGAGCAAGCAATTAGAAGGAAGGGGGCTTAGCAGAGCCACGGCGTGAGGCAGAGCAGCGCAACCTCACTTCCCAGGAGCATGGTCCCCAGTCCCGGCAGCACTGGCTCCTGCACAGGAAAATTAATCTGCCAGCATTTAAGCCTAGGCCCCTCTGGTGGATATAATCGCTCAGAAATAAATTATCCAATGTGAAAAATGAGACGTTGAGTCTTGTGTGATCCAGCGCCAAAGCTTTTGGGTTGGACTCTGTGTCTGGACCCAGTGCAGACCCCAGCCTTTTCCTTCCAGATCCCCTCCCTGCTACTTTCCTGCCTCCGTCAGCAGTGTTCTTGTCTGTCTCACTGTCCCGGGACTCAAGAGGCAGGCATTGCAGTGGTCACCTTGAAATGAGTGTAGGGTCATATCTTAGGGCGCTCACACCACAATGGCCTGAACACTGTGGCCGTGGAATACCCAGCATGCCTCTTTCTTTAGGTGTGACTTGTTGCAGAAGGCTTGGGGCCGTTCTGTTCCACTAGCCTGTCTTAGGTTGGGTGCCAACCTGAGGCCAACTTGAATAATGGGGTCGGAATTCCCTCAGTTATCTGCCCTATTTATTTGGTGTATAACCTCCCCATTACCACCTGGCAGGATAAAAACCTGCCTATCTAAGGGCGGGGGCCCCAAATCCCATTCCTCGGTTGCCCCCCGACCCCCGTTCCGCGAGCTGCTAAATCGGAAAGAGCCTTCCTGGTTTGAAGAAAGAAATCTTTATTAATCTTAATAATAATACTGTTAATTTGTATGGTCACACCGTGGAGGCATACAGAATGGTAAGAAAGGAAGCCTGGGGCTCGGCTGCAGTCCTGGGAGGGGCTGCGGGAAAAGGGTCCGAAACAGCAGAAGGCAAGGGGCTCTGTACAGAGGACAGAGCCGGAGGCAGGCGCGGGATTATGTACATCAGGAATAGAAAAGGAGGGTTCCGTTTCCATAGCTTCTGTGGCTGCTGCTGGATAGAAAGTGAGGTGATTTCTTTTGAGGTGTCATGAGACAGTGGTGCCGCGTCGGGAGCCTTGGTTTCTGTTATTATTTATTTTTTTGCTGTTAACCCTACTCCACCTATCCCTGCCTTGCCCAGGGGCTTCTTGATACCTCTTCCCTGTTCCATACACTGGGCCTGCTGCTTTCCCGTGACTCCCTTACTTTACCTGCCCAGGGAGCAAACAGGCTGCAACCTAGCGGCCTTCCCTGTGACAGGGCCAGCCCAGACCTTCCCCATCCCTTGTCTTTCCCATGGGTCCTGCTCTGACTGTGACTCTCCAGACCCATAGCACCTTGACTCCCAACCTCGAGGTGCAGCCCAGGGCTGGCCCGTCTCATTCCCCACTCCCCAGCAGAACCGAGCCTACAGAAGGGAGTGGAAAGCAGGGCTGGGTCCTAGCAGACAGCTGAGGCTGGCCTTCAAGCCCACAGCGCCTCCTTCAGGGAGGCTGCCACGACAAACAACCCTGTGCCCGAGGGCCCACCTGTCCACGTTCACAGCGTGAGGACTGGGTCCTCGCTGGCTGGGCTTTCTTTGTTCTGTTTAGCCGGAAGCTTTCTCACATAGGGGAGCGGAGCATGGGGGTGCCCCAGAGTTCTGGAGCCGTGTCAGCCCTTTGCATTGGGAGTTGGAACCCAGGGCGGCTGGTTGGATAGCTGACGGCACTGGCAGCAACATTCAATGAGGCCAGGCTGGAGACCTGGGATGAGTGATAAGCCGCTGGCCCCTAACTGCTCCAGCCCCTTCAGGGCTCAGCAGGCAATAGCCCAAGTCAGCTGGCTGCTCCTTCTCAGGGGCCTGGTCCACCCTAGGAACCCCCTGTCTGGGGAGCAGGGTGGGAAAGGAAGACTGGATAGATACCGGAGCCCCCCCGCCCCACACCCACTGGCCACTTTTCCCCTCCAGATTTTCCCCAGTGCCTGGCCGCATCCCCACTGCACCGCCAGCCAGGCAAAGCCACTCTCCGGCGCCCCCTGGGGGACGAGCTCCCTCGGTGCGGGTATACGCCAGACGTGGACTTGGACTTGGTTGGATGCCTCTTGGTTTGGTTGGTATTTTTTGTTGTTGTTGCTTGGATCTTAACATCTTTTTTTGTTTTGTTTTTTGTTTTGTGATTTTTTTTGTTTTTTTGTTTTTGCCCTTCATGGTCCGAGAAGGAGACGGTGGAAGGTTTCACTACAACAGAAACAGAAACGAGGGCTTGCGGTTTCTGAGGGGTGGCTGCAGCATGCGGGGGTGGGGGGGGCACCATGCCTGTGGTCTGGGGTCCGACCTGAAGCCACACCTCCCCCTACACTTGCCCTGAGGCCACACTCCCAAAACCTGCCCATACCCCCACCACAGCTTCTGGGACCACACCACAAGCTAGACCTAGAGTACACATAGCGATGGGCAGGGCTGAGAGCAGATGATTTCTGGACCGGGTAGAGGGCAGGGTATGGTGGAGGAGAGGGAGCAGGCCTCTATCCACAATGGGGCTTGATGAGACTTACAGTTTTAGTCACCTTGTGGCCCTGAACCCCCAGAGTGGAGGGATTAGCATCTGCTAGTTCTCTAGGGTTTCAGCATGACTTCAGGTACCAACTGTCATCCTTTCTGGGACTCTAGGCAGTGGAACTAGGTAGGTCCCCACAGAGGCACACACATGCTAACTGAGACTTGAGTGGCTGCAGGAAGGCCAGAGGAAGCCGATACTGTGTCCCTGGCCTGGCTGCTGGAACCCTTCCCTCTTCGACAAAAGGTATGTTGGGTCTTGGGGATGGGTGGTGTGGCTTTGTAGGCCAAGAATAAACGCCCAGAGTCATCAGCTCCAGGAGCCTGAAGAGGTGGTCAGGCTCAGGGAGGGTCTCCAGGTCCACAGGCAATGCAAGGTGACCTTGGGGAAGGGACATTTCCATGTCTGTAAGGAATCCCAGAGCCAGGGTGACCACGGCAGTATTGCACACAGAACAGTGTGCTTGTGACTACTTGGACAGGAAGATCATTAGCAAACTTTAATAGAAATGTTAACTTCGGCTGAGTGGAAGTCCAGAGAGGGGATGTAGCTACTCCTGACATTCCTTGTGAAAGGTGGGTGAAAGCCCCTCCCACTGGGGGATCCCACTGACTAGGCCTGAAACTCCTCTGTCAGTCATCAAACCTGGGATGGCCAGTCCTGCAGGGGCTGGCTGAGGTGGCTCTGAGGGAGGCTTGGCCTGGCACTTCTGCTGCCCTGAGACATGAGCATGGCCCTGGTGGGGCACCTTGCTGTCCCCCCAGCCTGGCTCCCGCTGTATGCATACCATACCTGAAGTGGCTCGCACAACAACGTCAAGATAGGAAACCAAGATTCAGACATACAGGAAAACCAGGGTCAGAGACACACACACCAGCATGGGTGGGGTGGGGAGACCAGCTGGCTGGAGGTAAAAATCTATGGACTTTAGAGTCGCCGAGAGTCAGCTCGCTGGTCGCTGACTGGGAGGGGCGCACTGTCCTCCGGGCGGTTGTGCCTGGTGTTGGGACTGTAGGGTTTGGTTTGGAATAAGCTGTGGTGTGAATGCTGTGAGGGGGGGTCTCTTGCTAGTAGGGGGTGAAGCGGCTGTACCCTCCTCGGCAGAGGCTAGCCTGCAACATCAAAGATGAAAAACAGCCAATCAGTACCATCTTTTGGCATCGGGAGGAAAAATCAAAAAGAAAAAAAAATAAGGAAAAAAGAAAGAAAGAAAGAAAAAAAAAGAAATAGCTAAATCCCGACTTCTTTCCCCCAACGGTATTTCTTTGGGAAGAATGGGCTTCAGGTTGTCGTGGCAACCGGGGGGGGGCCTAGTCCCTCTGTGATGATGGTGCTCTTGGGGCTGGGAGGGATGTTCCTCTCTTGCAGACTTTTATACCGTCTCTGTGCCACTTCTTGGGGCTTCTGCTGAGCCCACTGTGCCCTCAGGTGGAGGGTATCTAAATGTGCTCTCTTCATGCCTGCAGGGTACGTCAGGACAATCCTGACAGGGTTCCTAAGCTGAAGCTCTGGAGCTACTAAAGCCTGAGAGCCACACCTGCTGGTCACAGCGCCACCTGCTGGTTACAGCGTCTGCCCTGCCTCTGAGCCTCCCAGGGCTTCCTAAGTTCACTTCTGTGTCCTGCCAGAGAGGTTTCTGTGGAATCTCTCATCCCCAGCCCAGGGTTTTGCAGGAAATGGGGGGAAATAGCAAATACAGGAGGAAAAAGTTGGAGAAAGTCTCCAAAGCATTAAAAATGAAATAAACAGGAAACAAGAGGGCCCTGGGGAGCCAATGGCAGCTTTCAGCTAGCAGCTGTCTGGAGTCTGAGCTCTGCAGGCAGGGTGGGCCTTCAGGGCCCGCTCCCTGCTCTCTTCCTGTATGGCTGTGGTGCCCTCCTAGTTAGAACCCCTACAGGCCCACTCGGGATGTCTGGGCCTTTCAAAAAATCAACAAAGACAAAAATTCCAAGGGAATAATCAAAACCAAGGGAGGTAGGAAAAAAAATCCATGTAGCCTCTCAGCCCTCTCTCTCTTTACTACCCCCCAAATGTTTTCATCTTTGATGCTGGATGCCAAGCTAAAAACACACAACATCCCTGGGGGTGTAGGTGGCAGAGGAAGTAGATGTTCACTGGACACAGACTGTGGGCACAGAGGGGCAGGCTATGTTGACGTCTGGGCACACACACACATACACACATACACACACACACAGACACACCAACCATATCCTCGGTGTCCCAGGGCAGGCTGGGAAGAGGGTTTGGTGAGAGAGAGAGTTGTTGTACTTTAGTTCCCTGCCAAGTGAGAATGGAACCTCGAGGGGTTAACCTCGGGCATGTCACCGGGAGGAATGGGTTACATCTGCCCAAACTGCCAGGCCTCTGGAGCCCCTGCATGGAGGAAAGGGTGTGGCTGATTTCTTTTGCTTTCCTGATACTGGGAATGGAGGAACCTTGACAAGACTGTGGTCATTATGCTTCCCAGAGGTGTGGTCATTATGGAGGGTTGGTCCTTCCCTCTCAGTAGTTCTTCCCAAGTCTCCAGAACTAGGCACTGCAGCCTTGTCCCGCCCATTACAGGATGGACCGCCTCCTCATTACCCTTGTCCCGCCCATTACAGGATGGACCGCCTCCTCATTACCCTTGTCCCTCCCATTATAGGATGGACCGCCTCCTCATTACCCTTGTCCCGCCCATTACAGGATGGACCACCTCCTCCTTACTGGTCGCTCTTCTTACCATGGTTCCGATGCTGTAGGTTGCTGTGGGGCCGATGGTGTGGTGGTAAGGATCAGCAGCTGCATAGACTCTACCATAACTAGGGAAGAGCAGGGGAGGGGGCGCAGGAGACGAGCGGCTGAGGCAGGCTCCAGCCGACCAGCCTTCCCAGACCAGCCTCCTTCCCATG